GAAATTTATCGATGGAAAGAGCAGCCCATTTCCGTTCAGTAACTCTTCGGAGACGGCGGGTTTGTCTATCATTTCTATGCTGATGGAAGAAGAGCAGTCTGGAGCAGAATAATTTGGTGGGTGTTGCGTATGTCACATGTTTGATCCGCCGTGGGCGGTGAAACAAGATCACCGTCGCGCGCATCAGATTCTACATCCCCCCCCCAATGCATAGTCTCTAATAGGGATCCATAGTTTAGGTCCATTGCAGCCACCAAATCCTACAGTTTCTGGAGATCGTTGAAGTCTACCATTCTGTTTAATGGACATTTCTCTGCGAACGATATAAACGACCAATATTTCAAATTCTTGGGTGTATCTTTTTGAATAACGAGCCTCAAAATCGTCATCTATGACAAAGAATTCACAGATTATCTATGAATATACCGATAATTCGTATGCCAGCCTCTTGGCTAGAGTTGAACTTAGTTCGCTGACCTCCGTCCACCGGGTTGAGATAATTTGGTGTGTCCGAGGCCGTCTTTCGTATCAATCCAGAAGTGACCGTGATATCTAGGATTCTTGATTCTCTTCATGTTGCTTTCAGCACACATGCAGTATACCACTACCTCGTCCACTCTCCCGGCAACTACCTTGAGCTATATTATGTCGCTTCGTAGGCTTTGGTATGAAAATTGCACGACCCTTACTTATTCCTCAAACTAGGAGTTTTAAGGTAGGTATCTGGATCTCATTTTAAGTCAGAGCGAGGTACCTAAGCATCACATCGTCATTAGCTTCAATTACTAATCTCTGTTCGTTGTATGCCTATCCGATATCCTTCCATGCCTAGTGCTTCCAGGTGGTTATCATCGTAGGGATCCAATCGTATGTTCTCCCACTTGCTTTTCGTGTACGTATGTAATCACCGATGTAACGTACAGCGTACACGCCATTAAGATCTGGAAACGTTCGTGCTTCCGAGTCGCCGCCACCACCGCCACCACCACCACAGAAAAACCAAGCTTATCTCACTTCTAGTTGCCTGACACTTCAATCAGATCCTCCCATGGTTTGTTGTGGGTGCCCATAACTTTGCATGAAGATTTGTTCCTGACAATGAAGCCACAAGTTCTGACCGTCGTGGTAGCTTGCGGTGAGCAATCCCGTCTCCAGTCTTGCTGGTTTAATTTACAATCTGCCCAGGTAATGGAATATGTAAGTTATCATTAGCTATACAGTCATATTTTCCTCATTCGTGACCTGTAGTTTCTGTGTATTATACGAAAGAAAAGTATTTCGAACTGCGTGTTCACTATGTGCGCTTATATGGTTCCTGATAGATACTCAATTTTCACGACGTTACCGAGTATTAATGTACGGGTCGCATATTACCATTAATGTATCTCCGCCCGATATATTCTCCAGGGATCGATATGCCTCATTTATTCCGTCCCACCGATTGCTGATTTCATCATCGCATTCTCGATGTTTCCATGGATTAATACGCTAAACTGCCCTAATGCTAGAATCGCGGGGTCGTACTGAAACGAAGTGAATAGAAAAAATAGTTTATATCTGTGGCAAACGCGACATGTGGACTAACTACGAAACCTACAGACTTATATACTACGAAATCCCCGCGGGAATGAGCAAACACGGAACTAAATCCGTATGAGAACCAAACGGGGACTAACTGTCAGTACCATGAGAAGTTCGAAATTTTACACCTAATAGCATATCCGACATGCTTCTCGGCCTGATGCGGTCCCGTGATATCAGGTTTAGCTACATGGTAAAACATGTCTCTTCGGATTTAAGCTACGGGGATTCTGAACAAGCGATAGCGCGCGCTGGTTAATTACACTCAGCACAATATGGAAGCTCACAGTATGATACCTTCCCACAGTCAGACCTTGAACCGCAGTACCTGGTGCGGCCGAAATCATTTTTCTTGGCATCGATTTAATCTTAAAAAAATGTTTGGGCCTCAATCTTTTTTTGTATTCATATCCGATCTAACGTCTCGCAGTTTAGGGTTAACGTCACAATACAGGTTTCACTCTTATTTAGTGGCTGGACGTTCCTGAGTTGACTTCCCGGAAAGCTCGGACGAGGAGTACGTCTTCAGGATCACACACCCCGGCGTTCACATGTCACAACTCTGGCACCGAAGCAGTGCGTGTAAATCGGATTTCTGTCTCCTTGTCTCCCTGCTAATCTGATGTTCGTCCCTCAGAAAATCAGTATTCCCATGGAGAACGTTTTGTCTCTAGATTACGTTGAATGGGGGCTCGATTTTCACAGAAATATTAGGCAGGTAAAGTATGTGTTTGATATGCTAGAGTGTTACTGTACTAATGATGTACTATCTACGTTCAGCTTGAATCGTGCCGTGGAATGCTGCCTACCTTCCTGCCGTGAAAAACTAGAGACCATGGACAGCTTCGTATGGGAATGTTTGCATGCGTCAGTAAAAGTCGATGAGGATATCAGTAAGCGTTAGTCACAGAATACTTCATTTTGAGGGTCAGAGGTCGAAGGATGATGTTCTGTACTTACTTGGTACTAGGGAAGAAGTTCGGTACGGAGTTTACCGAGTCTGCTTCTTTTGCTACTTCCATCATCGCTTGCCTTGCATTACCTCTCCCTACGCGTAACGCAAAATGAACGAAGGATCTCTTTAGTGAAACTTAATGAAGTAACGTGCCGCTGTTCCATATCTCTTGTCTGCCAGTTCCTCCGGCACCTGTTTGTAAGCATCAGTCATCCGTGTCACTTTCGGGTTGGTGGGATGAAAGACTTACCTTGTATTGTCAAGAACCTGTTGTCCTTGCAGTGGACCACTGAATCAACATTTACTGTGGTTGCTCTCGTAAGTTCGTTTCCCTAGTCCCATTACAGCGACCAGCGACTGACACACAGTTGATATCCATAGCTGTTATGGATATTGAGTATCCAAAAATTCGGTGCATGGGTCAACACATGCCTATACTCGGCCTTCTCGGTCCTAGCAGTGACTAACATATATTTTCTCTTACTTTCTCTATTCTTCTTCCTGATACTAGAATATACTAGAACATTGTACAATATTAATGACTTGAGCCCTTTAGTATATAAATACCGTCTGTAACATTGTATTAGAAAAAAAAAGAAAATCGAATCTACTACTTTCAACACGCCTTCACTGCGTGAACCCTCAGCTACACCTAGCGCTTGCCGAACAACTCGTTGGATACGCCAAGCGCTTTCCGACGCCAATCCGAAGACTACGCCTAGCGCTTGTCTTCACCTACGGCCCGTAATAGCTCCGCACTTACAGGCTTTCTATATCGGTAATAGCTTCACACTTACCGGCTACTTCCTAAAGTAATTACTTCGCGCTTACTGACCCTTTTACCTCGCAAACCGGACCTCTCAGGTCTCTTCACGAAGTCTTGCTAAACTTTATTGTATCCTAACGACGTACATGCCTTCTAAGATATCCTACCTCGCTTCGATCATCCCCTCTCGCCTCGCGGTCTCATATCCGGATTTCGTTAGATTATCGACAGTTTTATTGTGCCCTCCTCTACCCATAACTAGAGTGAGATTTGGCTGACTTTTAATAAGTATGCTACTAGGCTCTGTCACAAAACACATTGGAAGCAAGCGAGTTGAAGGAATACGGACCGATTATCGCGCCGACGCGTGAATGGCGTGAGAACTATCAGTGTACCGACGGAAGCGTCCATTTCATTTTAGGATTTGGACTTGTCGATAAGGTGCGAGTCCCTCTCTGTCTTTCTTCTATACCACCACCACCATATCTATATCCTACCCGTCCGCTGAAACAAAACCGAAAATTGATACTAAAAGCAGTGCCACCAGAACCTCGTTCACGGTCAGCGGTTGATCACGACTCTTATTTGAAAGGGTACGGGGAACAATGCAAAGGACCTGGTGTGTGCTATCTTTCTGACCTTGTTCTCTCGATAATATGTTTTTAGACTTATCTGTTTCTCAATAGCCGAGCATGGAGAGAAAAGCAAACAAGGAGAGCGAATCGCCGAACTACTAAAATGGTAAATCTCCCCTTTATCGCGTATCTTCCATCACGTCAGCCTTCTTTGACACATCGTTGTTGTCTGGTCACCTTAATACGTATTCGTATTATCGAGGAGAGTAGCATATTATTGAGTTGTATTCGCTGAAGAATCTCGAGAACTTTTCTCACCACGCCACGACATCTGCGGGCACGAATTTCGGCCAGGTACATGTTGATGAAATTGGCCTCGTCTTGGCCTAACCTCCGGACTGTGAGTATGTTCGAATGGCATGTACTGAAAAAGTCGTCGACTAACTATATCCTGCTGGGGATATGAACCGTAGCGAAGAGTTCGATTCTCTGTACCTGAATGTCATCCTTGAATAGCTCTTTTTTTGACGTCCTACGTCCAGTGCCGGCAGTCCATGAAAAAGGTGATAAACAGGGCTCTAGTATTGTATCACCCTCCCTTATATTCTCTTATATTCTGAACGGAATTCCATTTTGAGAACGTTATTGTCCCTGGTATTCTCGCAGCCACGAAGAGATCTGTGTTCAGATAAGGTATGGTTTTCAGTCTTTCTGTTTGACTGGAAGGGTTCGATTCCCTCCATTGCATACGCAGTCTCTCGTAGTTATTATTATTTTGACACGTAGCCGTTTGGTGGCTTTGAAAGATCTGGTTTTTTTTGGGCCCTCTCGCGTAGGGATCCTTCCCGTTCTGAAGTATTCATAATTGGGAGCTTGGAAGCAGAATCATAGGCATCAGGTTTGGAAGTGGGTGCGAGCTCATGAGGAGTTAAGCTCTGGGTCATGTGTCTGAAGACTTGTGGTAAATAGATAAGAAAGTTCGCATGAAATTCAGGATTGACATTGATATAGGTATACGATGCTCTGTTTGGAGGCGGGGGGGAGACGATGGGAGTTGTAAAAGGAACTAACCTGGCGGAATCTGGTCTGGTCCTTAGTTTATATCCCCAAAATTACAGGAGGCTCAGATATGATGTAATGGCTAACATTACCGCCTTTCATGCACGGCTGAATGCTATCTCTACGCGGTAGCTCGCGGTTCGATTCCCCGTATCCGAAGTGGTGCGGTGCAAAATAGATATTTTTTTACACCCGAATTATCTGTTTGCTGCTCCCTTTGGTCCACCACTCGCGTATGGGAAAAGATATTCGTTGTATGTCCTACATTTGATTTATCTTTCATTGCAATGCTAATTGTGGAAGGCTGCCTGGGTGCGTCTGCTGTTTGAAAAACTTGATATGGCTTGGATTATAATCTTTGGTGCACGTTTTTGAAGGTGCATGAAATGTTCCATTGATTTTCCTTACTCGCTCGTCTGAGATACTTGAGATTAGTGTAACGAATACAGGCTCGAGATCTTATTATGGAATATCTTTTTGTGAAGGTGAGAATGTTGAATTCTCAGGCCTCTGCGATAGTCGCCGCTTCTGATGTCAACTTTTGGGATCGCTTTTATGGTGGCCGATGGTAGGATGTGGAAAGAAAATCCAAAATAAAATGGATGTGTCTTTCAGTACACATGACTGTAGATTATTATAATTGTAGACTCTCGCAGAAACTGTTACAAAAAATGCGGTGTCTTCGGTGAGATTGGAGATTCCTCGTTTCTAGCTTGGCTGTTTCTGGACACATACTCAAGGAATGGGTAATTCCTGCTGTACATATACCCTACTAATATAGTATGATGGCTACATTTACTGCTGGATGCGGTACTTCGAGGTTCGATTCTCTCTATCTGGTCATGGATAACCGAACCAGCATTTTTCCCCACGTACCTGACTTACTTTAGCGGTTCCTTTATTTTTCCCCTGATCGTGCTCCTATCTCGTATTTGTCAACTAGGTGCCCAATCTATGAGAACTGTCTATAATTATTCTTGCTATCATAGTCTTCTTGCTGGCAGCCGTTAACGGCAGTCTATCCAAACAATGATCATTTTTGAAGGTTTCAACTTGGGGCGAGTGCACGAAGCGGGCTTAGTGATTGCAAGTTAAATGTATCTGAATTACCGAGTTCAGATTTAGACGAATAACGAGAGCATAGTATCCTTGTTAAACCAAGAAGACATCGTTTTACATCCTTTCAGCGCAGTCCTGGGAGGTGATTTTAGAGAAGATGATAGAAAATGTCCAAGGATCGGGAGGATATTTCCGCAGTTGAAAATTGGAGATATCCGTTCCACTTCGATTTTCCCAGCTCCGTTCGCATGAGGCTTGACCCGAATCATCACAGTGGCACCAACTTTGCATTGGCAAGTCTCTCATCCAGCCGCAGGCAACATTCAGCTAATGAAGAAGAGAAACAAGGAAGTGTACCGTTGACAACCTTGAACGCAAGTGCATGCGAAGTGGAACTCTTGGAAGCATGTCTTGAGACTCGTAAGGACGTCCCTACCCATGAGATAACCTGAGAAATCCTAAACAGTTTCCGCAAGCCTGAGTATAAAGCACTTGAAAATTGAAGGGAGTCGCGAGCGATGTTGTCAGTAGCGAGAGAACTTGAAGCTGGTTCAGCAGAATACCGCCCAGTGCTTGCTCCCGATGATAATAAGTAACTGGCGTTGTATGAGACCTGTTATTGGACCCTTATAGTGAGCAAGCGAAGAAATTATCTCTAGTTCTAGCGACTGCTCGACAAGTTCCCTTCGTTTCGCGACAAGTCTCGGAATAAGAGGAATCACGTCGTTGTGGATGATTTTGAGGCAGGCATAGCTATGTGGAATGCCGGGCAAGGGGGTGCCGAAACCGACATGATCAATGATGGCCAGTTTCTTTCTCGACGAATCCAAATGCAGACGAACGCAAGAGGAACATCCAGTAGCATCCACGATTATGTGCACCCTCCATGCCTCATTAAAATTGAGCGTGTACAACCAGTGCATGTTTGGAAGTTTCCATATAGTAAGTCGGCCTGCTTCTTTTCGAATGCGACATCCTTAAAAGTTCACCTATCGTTCATGAATCATCGACATACGTGTCCATTTAGTTTCATAAAGCTCCCATTTGACATATGACATGTACCGTAGAGGTGAAAACACTCTTAAACCTCCTTTCCAGCATGTTACATCAGTTCTGCTACAGCAATTCCCTGGACTTCAACCGTCAGTCATGGCCCGGTATTGACGCTGTGCACGAGTAAAACCACCACCAACTCGTTCTTGTTTCTTTACTTGCCCAATATTCTTAGTGGTCATACTCTCCGGCCTAAAGCTTGAGCTGATAGGCTTCTTGATACAATCTAGTGTCGAGTTCTGATATATCAATGACAGTGACGAAACAGACAACAGAACAGTAAGGCCCCATTGATACATCCACACCCTTCTCTCTCACACAAGATCTCTCTCCACACTAGCCTCATCTCCGCAGATATTACCATGGTCATAATCTGGAGCGTTGCGGGACATAGCCGCAATTCAAATTGCACAAACTTCAACGTTTATTTCACACGTGAGCTCCCTCAGAATGTCACTTGGATTATGATTAATAGGATTAATAGTACCTTTGAGCGAACACATTTTCCTGAACACTGGTGGTAGCCCTGATTCTAATAACACACCCTCTGATCCGACAGTAAACTGGAACGCTACTGCGAATGCCTAAGACTACCCGTGTACCAGTACCCCCTCCCCCCATTTATATCAATGCACTATTCATATCATTATATCATAGTGGAATAACGCCGCGCAAGTCTCTGGTATCATCCTTTTGATCGGTTTGTGCTCTAATTTCCAGGACTTTGTTTGAATGCGAGTCGCCTGATTTGCTAAACCAGTTGTCTCTCGTACATATTTGCTATCGCCCAAAGTGCATCAAACAACGACACTATCTCACTCATCCTTGATTCTACCCTCAGGGTTAGCTGTGTCAGCTTCTTCATAACCTTACGGTTCTCTTCCTGAGAAAATTTTACTTTAGTGACCTTGAGATCACAACCGAATTCATAAGCAAAGGAATTTTCTTTCCAGGTGTACATCATTTATATGAGGGTTACTCTGCAACGTAGTACTGTCCTGAAAGTGTACTGCATCATCATCACAGTTACACTTTGTTCGCATTTCTCTCTCTCATGCTCTAGTTTTACGTGCTCACCCCTTTGTTTTACGGAAAAGGTTGGTCGCTTGTATGATATGTGTCATCGTGATCACAACTGCAGTATGTGGGTTCCGACAACGAAACGAAATCTTCGTAGTACCCATTGGGACTGCATTTGACTTCACCTAACTGCGTTTTTCCGTTCCTGGAACTCCCAAGGGTTTTGGTACTGTCCATCTGTTTCCTCCCTAGTGCATGAACTCAAGGGACCACTCTTGATTCGTAATCGTTTCATCGATTTGTTGTTACTTACCTTAAACTCTCAATAAGTAGAATTTTTGCGGAATACTACCATGCCTTGCCATTTTATGTGTTTCTGTGAGTCCCTTGTTACAACATCAAGTTTTTGTGGTCGGGTAGCGGTTACATGGTCACAAAATGGTCTGCAATGTTGGTCGGGTTCTACATATTCGCTGACCCAGGTTTCTCGTGATAAGCTCACCTGGGCTAGTCTTGGTATGTATTTTATCAGTATGATATTATAGTGGCATAGATACTGATGAACTCATAGTGGATGCACTAGAAGTCAAGCATTGCGCACCGAAGTTCTGGGTATTTGCCACAAGCTCAATCACGCGTATGCTGAAGCTATCAAAGAATGTACCTCGACTACTATATGCCGACTGTTTTAGAACCATATAAAGTACGCTGTGTATTCTTCTCCGTTATTGCATTTCTAGAAAACGTTAAAGAACGCGATATTATTTGCCCTATGATATGAGTATCAATTTAGTTTAGTCGTTATTAATGGTAGCATGTGGATTTAACACCAAAACATTGGTGTTTGATATTTACGAGGAATGAACACTTCGAAGCTGCTTGTTGTACTAGTGTTGGCACAAAATTGAAAGTAAAAGTTGTCGGTCCGACACGAATTTCAATTTCGGTGACGTGTCGCACGTGGGTTCTTTAGGGCAGGGCGAAATCACACGGCGTCGGACGTGTCGACCGGCGTCCTATTGCACGAATTACTTCCACCACGATGAAACTAAAGGAGATCCACAGGACCTCGACGTTTACCTGGTCTCCGACTTCCTCTCTTCCTCTCATAGCGACAGGCACGGTCGCCGGTGCCCTCGACGAGTCCTTCAGCAACGAAAGCCAGCTCGAAATCTGGGCGCCCAATTTTCTGGACAAGAATGAATTTGACTTGGGGATAGAGGGACAGTCTGGACCGAAAGGCTCTGTGAAGGATACATCGAGGTAAGGCGGATCGTTGCTGTGCTGCTGGGTGGATGCTGATGCAGCCAAATACAGGTTCAACCGGTTGACATGGGGGTACGTCGACAGTAGTCGACCACGGGGTGTCATTGCGGCTGGTATGGAGAACGGCGAGCTCGCGCTGTGGGATCCGGCGAAGATTCTTGCCGGTGCTGGGTGCGTCGCTGTGGTGTAGCCTTTTTTTCTCTGTTCTCTGAGCGCGTCCTACAGCTCCAGCGAGTCCCTCATCCTGCGGAATACGAACCACACCGGGCCGGTCAGAGCCTTGGACTTTAACCCGCTGCAGACTCACCTCTTGTCGTCCGGTGCCGTTAATGGAGAGGTTCGTAGTCGTCGTTTGATGTAGCTGCTTTCGCTCTGACCTTGGTGCAGGTCTGTATATGGGATCTCAAGGACCCTACGAAGCCGTATGCCCCGACGCCTGGATCTAGGAGTACGAAGTTGGACGAGATTACGTCGGTTGCATGGAATCAGCAAGTTCCGTATGTACTTGCAGGAGCGAGCACGACGGGCTATACTGTCGTTTGGGATCTCAGAGGGAAACGGGAGGTCGTCGCTCTGGCGTACGGAGGTGGAGCCGGAACGCTTGCAGGCCAAGTCAGCGCGACGAATGGTCTTGCTGTTGGTGGACGGAGAGGGATGAGCGCCATCGCCTGGCATCCAGATAACGTGCGTCCTATCGCTGCATCTCCGACAATGTGCTCACTCTATCATTCAGGCTACCAGACTTGTTACGGCATCCGAAG